CTTGAAATTGATGATGCTACTGTAGGAACATTAATTTCGATTTTGATCATGGAGAGTTGAAGACTCTGATACTTTAAAAGTGACAAAAATGCGATGAAGGAAATACTTTCTTTGCTCTAAAGCGAATCTTAGATATTGTAAAATAAAGAATTAATATTTTATAATACATTGTGTGAAATATAACTAATGATGAGGTATTTCAAAAAATAATCATTCAGGTGTTATCTTTAGAAGGGCATCAGGAATAAATTTGTATAGTATTATTTCATTGATAAACCTAACAAGATGTGTATACTTCGTATATACTGTATATATTCAGTTAAAGAACAAATTGTTCTCTCTGCTTCTATCTGAATACGCTTCTATAAGAAAATGATTTTAATTAAATACGAGTAGCTGAAATCTAGGATATAAAACATAAAATCCAAATTAAATTCGTTTAATTCATATAAGAATGAAAGAACACTAAGCCATCGCCTACAAGATAAATTAATTAATTGTGGATGAGAAGAAAACACGGTATAAATAAATTGATAATTAGTTATATCGTGAAATAGAGCCATCATAGAAGCCATCAATAAAAGCATTATATTATAGGCATAATATAAAAGTATCACAGATATAAAAACTGAAGATAATCTATTCTAAAAATAGTTACCTCTCTCATTTAAATTACCATATATCATTCACGTATTTAATTACTTTTAATTAATCATATTTAATATAATTTCTTCTCATTGATGATTTCTGGTTAATGCTTTTGGTGTTTTATGCTATTCGTTTTTGATTTTACTACTTTATTTTCTAAAATAATTAAATAATCGAATGTAATGATCTTATAGAATTATATCATTAGTCACGCATTATACATTTTTCTTATATACACACATAGAAATATAACAAGTATGTACATAATGTATTAAAGAATGAAAATTACTGTATAAAAATTTGTGATTATTCTAGAAATACAAATTTCAATTTAACATTATTTTTCTGTTGATAAACATGAATTACTAAATTAATGCATGCCCTATTTACTCAGATATTCTACATTTTCATCTATATCGAATTTGATTTGTTTAGAAAACAAACTAAATATTAATATTAATGTATAGTACTTGTTTATTGTATTCTTAATAAGAACTTTATCTAAACTCAGGCATTTTATTATACTAAATGAGCTACAGGGTAACTATATGAATGTGTTTGTTAAGAGTAAATCAATATTTTAATTAATTAAAACATACTAAATATATATGATATAATACTTATAATAGTTATGTTTATACTTGAACGTCTGAAAACTCTGCCATCATAAAATAAATTTATTTTTAAATGATATGCGTCATACATATAACTAACACCTTATTCTTGCCGAGAAATATAATTTATTTCAAACAAATGTTTTCAACCTGATTCACGGGCCATCTTCAGGTTTAGAACATATTTGAATTATATTACATATGTCACCTCTGAATAAGTTCTTCAGAGGTGACATATGTCTTTACCACCTTCTTGGGTCTTCTTAACTTGAAGAATTCTTAACCTGGGGTTCATGGAACCCTTGGGTCTTGAATTGGGTCTCAATAGATTTCCTCAATAGATTTCAAGGGACGCGAAAACTTATATCACAAAAATTATATCTGTATTTTCAATAAATGTTAACTATTGTTACATACTGTTTTAGTGAAGAAGCACGTGTATATACATTGTTACCATATAACAAATTTAATATATTTTTAATACAATATTTTGATAACTATGTTTCATTATCATTGATTTCCTTTGTAATCCTATGTATTTTATTTTAGTCATTTAAAAACGTTATTTTGAGACAGAATCTATAAGTTTTTGTTAATTGCCAAAGGAATCATGGAAAAATAAAAGGTAATAAACCTCTGAACAAGAATATTCGTGGACCAATCAACAGAAAAAAACGTATCTGTATACGAATGACTGTATTCTTTTTAGAATAATGCAACCAGAAAGTTCTAATGGGAAAAAATAAACTTATCCTCCAAAACAAGGCAAATGATTCTATATAGGATACAATTTACATAATTAATTTTAATAAAAGGTAACTTTATGTAACTTATTCGTGTTTGCAGGTTCGTTTTGTGGGAAAATTGTATTTAAAAAGCAATTTTCTTTCACGACATTTAAAGTATCTTTTATATAAATATTTTTTAATATTTCAAAAACATATAAAAATAATCTAATGATCAATTTGTACTGCATTTATTTTATATTAAATCCGTATATTTAATAAATTATTGTAAAAATTACTTGCAATATACAATGGCCATGCTTATAGATGTAAAATTAAAAACAAAAACAAAAAAAATACAGTATTAAATTTATCAAAAAGTTATCTGTGAGTAATAGCTATATTACATGTTGTTCCAGCTAATGCATTCATTGTTTCTATAATTACAATTTATATGACTATCAAAGTATTTTTGTGAATGAATTTATTCATCAGTAACTAAGTACTGTATACCCTCAGTTAGCATTCAAAATAAAAAAAAAATTAAATTATGTTTCGGATTAAGGGTTTTTAAGATATTCAACAATAATTCACTTTTACGGTTGAATAAATCAATCATGTTCCGTTATTTCAAAGAATTAATACTAGTTAAGAAGAAGAAAATTCACTTACAATAGTTTCAATAGAAAATACTTAAATGGCAAAATATTTAATTGTAAACTATACGACGTTTGATTAAAAAATAAATAAATAAATTGTCATTTTTTAAAAAATATTCAATGGAAAAATGTTTTTAAATATGATTTCTGCTGAAAATACACAAATGATCCTTTTTTTAAGGAACACTTTTAATAAGATTTCTGAAAAGACAAATTGACTTTTAGGAAGTATTTCTAATGTTTCTGTAGATTTAAATTGGCTGTTTTAGGAATGTTTAGTGAAAAGATTTCTAAAGACACGAATTATTTTTTATGGAGCTTTTAATGAAATAAACAACTCAAAACAACAGTGTTCCTAAAAGGATAATTTGTCTTTTTAAGAACAATTTAATCCATAAAAAAGCATACAAATCACTTTTAAGGAATCGTAAAAATATTTAGCTTCTATTTAATATTTATCTTGTATACTAGTACTTTATCAATTAACAGGACTTATTATACTGGATTTATGGATGCAGAAATTAAGTCTTACATATCAGAAATAATATTTTTTATTATCCATAAATCCAGTATAATAAGTCCTGTTAATTGATAAAGTACTAGTATACAAGATAAATATTAAATTAACATATAGGACACAAAGACATGATAATTTAGCTTCTATTTTTAAATTAAATTTTGTAAATATTTACTTGTTATGACTAATATAATATAATTTTTATAATATTATAATATAATTTTTAAAATATTAAATTTCGAAACAGGAGTATTACACTTATACAATCTTTATTTATTACGTTTTAAAATATACAATTTATATACATTTTAAAGAGATGAAATAACATATTTAATATTAAATATATTTTAATTACATGTTTCTAAATCTCCCATTTAAGGTTAAAAAATTTTTCATTCAATTACGACTTAATCAAAAAGGTCTAAATATTGAAAATAAATATATAGATTATGATCAATCTGGATGTTCTAAATGTGGTAAAAAAATTGTCAAAATTTCATTTAATTTATGGATGTAACGAGAAAAACAAACAGAATATAAATACTAGTGAGAATTATGAATATAATCAAGAGATGGAAATTATTATGTATAGTAAATTGGACAAAATGAATATCAATGACATTTACAATTTATATAATATGTTAAAAACAATATCTTTGACTAATAAGTGTATCGCTAATTAGCCTCATTCAATCATTAAATCAAATAGACATTTAATGCTAAAATTCATCAAAAAGTTGATTTATGTAAAGCTAAGAAATTGTAAAAACACCCCCTTGTAACAGGCTACTGCCTTTTATGTTAATAAACATTTGAATTGAATTGAAAAATGCTTTGCAAATAATTAAAAACAATACTTTTACCATTTCAAAATGTCACCTTTAGGTTGAGCAAGCATATAGCATTCAAATTACAGCTTTTAAAAAGTACATTAAAAGATTCCAAATGTGCCAATTAAATCATAGTGTGTAGTTTTTACATAAAATCAAACAGACTGAACTTAAAAATTATTCAACTGTAAATGATATGAAAGAATCAAATGCAACAAATTTTTATTGAAAATTAATTCAGGACACCAGATAATTACAGGTTCATAAAAGTCTTTCTATACAATATCATCTAAGATACTGCATTAATATTTAATTTTATCATATAATCTTAGATTTAAAAATAACAGTTCTGCCAATTTTTAAAAAATTTGTTGCATTAGATTCTTTTGTTTTATTTATCTTTAAATAATTTTTAAGTTCTATCTGTTCAAACATTCATTAAAACAAGTTTTATGTAAAACTAAAGATGGTTCAATGGAAGCCAAAATGTTCTGTATAAATAAAATAGTTGATTATCTTAAGTAATAAACAGTGTAAAAAGACTTTTTGTTATTTTAGTAGCGCAAAGATTTGCAGATTTCAAAAATTAAATTATATATATTTAAGAATTACTACAAAAATACAGAAAATAAACTGAATTCCATATAAAGTAAATTTGATACTGTATCTATATTTTCTAAAATAAGAAATATAAATTGCAATATTATGTTAAAATCTAACTTCATTAAATTAACCAAAATTTAAATATATTAAAAATTCAATAAATTCAAATTTTGCAATGTTAATTCCATAAGTAGAAAAGATTTATATAATTCATACACAATTATTATTTATGATGCTTTTTTATATTTTTACAATCTCCAATTTTACTAATGAAATACACAAAAACAGTTTGCAATAAACAAAACTTTATAAAATTAAGCTATTTTTATGATGTATACAGAATAAATAAATTATACTAATTTGTAATTTCTAAAATATTACAATCATTTTACAATTTTACTTACATACGAGAGGGTTTAAGAGTTCGATCAATCTTTGGAAGGGATATTTCACTACTTTTCTTTTCTTCGTCAGCAACCATTTGAGCAATATTTGGAGAAGAATGCGAGCGAGATAAGCTTCTTGAGCTTTTATCTGATTCACTTATCCTCATTGTTATTACATTATCTGTTTTAAAAAGTTAATTATTGAATATTATTAAATAATATTTTAATTAAATAGTAATTTTAATCTGTAAGGTCTAATTAAATAATGAGACAGATGTTATCCTGACCAATACAAATTCAATGTAGCAAGAAATGCATGCCTTCCAGTGTGTTCTGTAATCTGCAGTCTGGCAACACTAAATGACTCCATGCTAAGTGTGGCGGGAAATTTTTTGCTATTTTGCTAAGATAGTATAAGAGTATTGTATAGAACAGAGAATGAATACCAGATTCTATTTTAAACTTGGGAAAAGTGCATCCAAGATAGTAACATTGATGTAGCAAGTGTATGATATGTGTTCATCTCAGACTCAAATATTCAGGAGGTTTAATCATTCAATTGTGGTAAGGAAACCCTAAATGATAGTGACAGGCCTGAACATCCAACATCAACTCAAAACAAAAAACTCATTTCCAAGTTGGGAAAACAGATTCAACAGTATCATTGTGTAACTGAGAATATTGGCATATAACTTTGGTGTCAGTAGAGAGATAATTTGTAAAATCTTAGTAAAAGATCTGGGCAAGAAGAAAGTTACTAACCAGTCTGTATCATGTTCCTTGTACAATGACCTTATTTTCTATTTACAGCTCTTCAGTTACCACTGAAAAAAACATCATTTTCATTTGAAGATGTTAAAGATATCCAACAGACTGAGACATGGATCTCCATATCAAAGTTACCAAAAGATANCAACTGTTATATAAAGCTGCGGAATACTCAATAATCCAGGATAATGAAGATATACAAAAAAGAAATAAGTTACAGTATAATGTTATTTTTAATTACCTATATATTTTTAATTACATGTTTCTAAATCTCCCATTTAAGGTTAAAAAATTTTTCATTCAATTACGACTTAATCAAAAAGGTCTAAATATTGAAAATAAATATATAGATTATGATCAATCTGGATGTTCTAAATGTGGTAAAAAAATTGTCAAAATTTCATTTAATTTATGGATGTAACGAGAAAAACAAACAGAATATAAATACTAGTGAGAATTATGAATATAATCAAGAGATGGAAATTATTATGTATAGTAAATTGGACAAAATGAATATCAATGACATTTACAATTTATATAATATGTTAAAAACAATATCTTTGAGTAATAAGGGTACTGTTAATTAGCCTTATTCAATCATTAAATTAAATAGACATTTAATGCTAAAATTCATCGAAAAGTTGATTTATGTAAAGCTAAGAAATTGTAAAAACATCCCCCTTGTAACAGGCTACTGCCTTTTATGTTAATAAACATTTGAATTGAATTGAATTAAATATATTTAAAAAATTCAATAAATTCAAAAAATAATTCGAACTTACGTATTCAATTATTATTTATTGGAAGTATTATTTAGTCGATTAAAACTACTAATCAATAAATTATATTTCCAAGTTATTTCCAGATATGAAATGTCATCTATAGAATGTCAGGAACTTCATAAAATACCATCAGATAACTTTAATAAACCTTCATTCTTCTTGTCAGAAGCTAAATTAAACTCAGGATCGATAAATGCCATGACTTTATGTCGAACAATATACCATCCTACAGCGATAATAATATCAATTTGATAGTTTTATTTATATTAATTTTATACGAAAATATATTAAAAACAAAGTAATAAATATTTAAATATAAAATTATTAAAATACTAAATAAATGATGGTTCAAATGTCAGTTGATCGTATTTTTTCTATAAACTGGGTTTAGAATAAAAGTATTTATTTATTTATTTGTGTAATACGCCAATTTTAAAACGGTTAACAGACTATTGGGCCACCTGTTTATTACTAACCATTTTATAGTTATCTCCTGTCTTATTACAATGACATCAATTCATAGCAATTTAAGAAGATTATGATATAATTTCATACAATACAGCATTTTTAATTTTATAAAAAATATATATAATTTATTTTAAACTACTAATCAATAAATTATATTTCCAAGTTATTTCCAGATATGAAATGTCATCTATAGAATGTCAGGAACTTCATAAAATACCATCAGATAACTTTAATAAACCTTAGG